ACGGGTCTAAGGGAAGACCCGGGACCCGGAGGACTACCAGTTGTTCCTGGAGGGACTAAGCCTGTGGGGTTAAATGGACTCCCCACAATGACGGGCAGAGTGCAGGGGTGCCACAGCTGTGCCCTGACTGTGCCCCCTGCCGGGAATCCCAAGGGAACCCCAGAGCCAGGCCCAGGCAGGGCCCATTGGGAGACTCGCAGACACTCAGCAGAAGTGCCTGTCCCTGGTCACCAAGAAAGCCGCCTCCTCCTCGGACCTTTGTCTTTAAGGAATGTCAGAGAACAGAAACTCCCAGAGTCTCTGTCCCCCCTCGGCACCAGGCCCCAGCTCTTTGCTGGGGTCCTTCCAGGGCCTGCTTAGATTTTAGAGCATCTCAAGTTTTCCTGCTGCTTCCCCCCAAGCCCCTGCACCTGCCACCGGCCCGAGGCACCCCCTTGGGCACTTCTGTGTTGCTGCCCCACCCCCACATGTGGCAGGTGTCAGGGATCTGCTCTTCAAATGTGTGTGATGAGAAGACGGGGGTGGCTTTTCTCGGTTGTTGGCGTATGGCTTCGTGAGCAAATCCATGAATTATTCCACTCAGCCAGGCCTGCTTAGCAGTCATGCGCACACCTCGGGCTCTGGGGTGGGATTGGCTGCCAGGCAGCTGTGCCTGGACAGGGGAGCCCCACTCACCACAGCCTCCACTTGCTCCTCAGGCCCTGCTGGAGACGGCACTGACGCGAGTGGTCCTCCCCATGCCCATCCTGGTGCTCCCTCCAATCGTCATGTCCATGCTGGAGAAGTGAGTTGGGGCAGCCAGGACCGTGGGGCTACCACTGGGCAGGAGGTGGGAGGGAGGGGACTGCCTGCCCAGGTCAGGGATGGGATGGAAGGGGGCAGTTTATTCAGACTCTCCCAGGCAATGTGACTGGAATCTGAGAATTCATGGACTTTAACTGTGCAGGACCCTGTGCTAGGTGCTGGGGAGGCTAGCCCTGCCCTGAAGAACTGGAGATTCTGGCGTGTGTGAGTCTGTGTGCATAAGTGTGTGTGTGTGT